TATCGCCAGTGTAAATCACGCTGTTCTAGCTTGTTCGTTTTGATAGTTCGTCAATTGTGTTTATACACTAAGACGCGTATACAATTTTTGCCAGCAGCTTAGTCTTAAACATAGCGTGATTTCCTTGTGGTTTGCACCTGATAATCCTATTAAAAAACATAAATATTTACACGAAATGTAGAATGTGGTTGAAGTTAGTATTACATTTTGTTGTCTATATATGACGTTGCATGCCAGATATCTGGCTGGCAATTTCGTCGGCGATTTTTTCCCTCCTGGCGGATGTGACTTAATGAGTGACATGGAAAAGGCAAGTTGGCTGCGAGTTCACTCGTTCGCATTTATCGGGAGGAGAAAATCTCTGACAAAATTGCTCGTATGATGGCGCCGGCTTATATAAGGTGCCATAATATATAGGAGTTTATATTATAGAGTTTACAACTTTTATAATTTTAAGTACAGGACCCTGGTTGATAATATTTGTAACCATAATTGATTAGGCTTCCTGTATATAAATATGAATATTATTTCATGACAACTAGATATACAGGGTGTATCAAAAAAAGCGCAATCCTTGACTGAAATGTAAATTGCTAAACAAATAATAGACGAAAACGTTAAAGTTTACATTCATTTTAAAGCGTAGCCATTCAGCTTTCTAACAGTGGGTTGTTTCTTAAATTTGACTCATTGGTTCGCGGGTAATAATAATTTACGTTATTGCGATTGGAGATTAAAAAAATTGAGATGGAATAACAAATCGTTCTCATGAAAATAACTGTTTTTTCATTAAAACAAAAAAATGTTTCATTTTATTAACTGGATTGTAACAATAAGTATAATTACGGCTTTTCTTCCACTATTTTTAACTCAGTTTGAAACTTCAAATGCGATATAATTTTGGCTTGGACCATCTAAACGGACTGACATCAACTTGCTATAATTTCTGTTTACATTACATCGCAATTCGATGACACTCTGGCTCAGACACCAGAATGTTTTGACGATTTTTAGCATTCGTTTAGGATTTCAAACAACTTGGTCTCTTTTAAAATACTTTTAATTTGTTCTTACGTGGTTTTCCAGATGTAGTGACGACAACATTAAAGTTTAAAGAAGAAAATTCTAACATTTAAACCGACTAAACAATAACATATAGTAAACTTACATAATTAAACAGCAACTAAAAATGATAGGTTTTACTAAATCTTTTCCTGTGCAATTATTACTAGCATTGGAGACAAGGATAATAGTTTGTTTGAAAGAGAAAAGAACAGGCTTTGAAGTAAGCCCAACAGCGTTTAACTAGAAATAGTATTTCGAAAGTTATTAAGCACAAAAGATGAATTGCGTTTATTTTGATACACCCTGTATAGAGGATATTACACGGCTGCGCGAAGATATTTTAACACGAGAAGATAAAAGTCATATACCTTCAAGCCACCGTGTAATGTTCTGTTTATTATATAGTCCCAAGCAAAAACTTGCGAAATTTCACGCTCAAAAGCAAATTGAAAAAAGTCACGTGATCGATTGGAAAATATCTCACTGTGTATTTTTCAGTATCTCACTCTCTACTATATAATAAAAAACTATATATCTTTTTCGGTCCAATATGCCAATTTGAAATGCAGAATAATTGTAATGAAAAAAGATTTTTCAAGACCTGTCAAATTCTTTATAAATCGAATTTGATATTGGGCTCAAGATCAATAAAGAGGTCTACTCCTGCGCGAAATATAAAAATCTTGCCAACTTTCTCGCCCCATTATCATGTGATATCAATTATGTACGTATCTTAAACACCACTTTAACCACAGTACGAGTTGCCAGGCAAACTCTACGGAAACGATTTGTTCGTTTGAAAACTCATCAAGATCAAATATGTCTCGCAAGGGCAATTAAGGAAACCACAGCCCCAGTTTTCCGTCACTTAAAATGTTTTAAAAAAAATGAGTGATGTCGAACAATAATGGGTGGTTATGACTTATGTATATTTTGAAATTCATGCGAAACTCCCGTGAGAAATTTTTGAGATATATACTCGTCATGTTTCTCACGAGTTGAGCATGCATGGCCTAACAAATTTAATCAATTAGCCTTTCTCACCAAGGCCAAATTCGCCATTTTTGGAGTACTTTTTTAAAACTAAATTAACTTATAATGATTATACTCACAATTATAGTTATACAAATCCCTTTTTTTCTCAGATTTGGAAAAAGCAGTATACCCCAAAAATGGGGCGTTATTTAATTGAAACTATATCTAGTACTCTAATTCTTAGTCTAGTCTTTTTGTAAATTTCATATGTTTTGTATTAAATGTACCAGTATTGGTAGGTCTGTTCGCATAAAGTGATCTTTATATAAATACTTCGTCATCTCACTCTAATTGCATGAAGAGATGCCGCTGAAGAGTTTAATTGACTCTTCAGCTCTTTTTTTTTAGCTATATTAGAAGATGTAACCAGACTCTTTTTTAAGACATTCTTATAGTCTTACAAACTAATAGGAGATCACTCCTTACATGGACTTGAATATGAAACAAAATATAAAGGGCAATACCGTACGACGTCAAGTTTTGTTAATATTGGCACCACATCGTTCAAGATCGTAATTTCATGACACTAATATATTTCATAAAATTAGCTATAGTTTGTCTTTGACTTTGGCAAAAACCTCAGGCTAATTAAGGTGTATATGTGATTTTTCAGGAATTTGACCGTTTCAGGCAAAACCCATCCCATAAAAAGTTTTTTAATTACGTTTTTTAATGACGAAATATAGGCCCTTGGCGAATAAAGGAGACAGTTATTTTGCATATTAAGTGCTTTAATATGGTCTCATTTATAATTCATGATTAATACTCGAAATACCAAGTTAAATATGGTGTCGTCTGTTCAGTTCGTGATATGTAGTTGATATGCAGCAGTCGACGTATACTACAAGAGAATCTGTTTATAGGGGTTTATATAAAACACTCAAATGTACTCCATTATATGAAGCGTGTCTTTCTATAAGTATACAAGGTTGGTATTGTTGTTTTAAAGCATAATGTGCTTTGTATATAATATGTACTCGATGATACTGCGCCTGTAACTTGTGTAATTAGGCCCGCCGGCCGTATCTGATGTAATACAGTATACGATTTCTCAATTGAACGCACGCAAACTGATAAATTTGTTGTAATGTATTTGTTAAAGTGTATGGCTTTATAGTAAGGCAATAACGCTACATATAATCTACATATTGTCAAAGCATTGTATATATATAATTGTTACGTATATTTTGAAAACAATTGATATATATATTCTGTGCCAGCAGACAAGCTAGTAGCGACAACACCAGAAAGCTCTGGACACCTATATCATTTGTTGTAAATGGTTTTGGTGATGAATTAAGTTATTAAACTATAAAACTAAACATTGAGAGGATTAAAATCTGAGAAATACGACGTTCCGAGCAAAGGCAAAGCTTCAGTTGTATTTTTTAGGTATTTAAATCCATCTCAATCCACAGCGTTCAAGAATTTGATGTTTATATTTAATACGTATGTTTAGAAACATTTTGGGTATATATACCGACTATTATTCTTCCTATGATCCGTAAGCCATAATGGTATAACATATAGATGGTCGAAATCAATCTGTATAGATGTTTATATATATAACAACTATTAACGATTACTCTTGACTATATCTATGAGCCTTTAGGCTTTACGTGCCATGGGCTTTCGTTCTGGGCATGGGGAATTAAGCTCTTGTAAGCATAGCCCTAAAACTCTGCAGCAAAGGATATCATAACATATTAGATCATATATGATATGCTATGATAGAAATTTAGATTCTATAAAATCGTAGATAATACGTTGAAGGCTTCGAACAGTCTACACAAAGACGACAAAGTCAAATTGTATAATTCAATGCATTTCTACATAATTATAATTGTAAATTACTCCACATACTGCATCATAATTGTTCATTTATTTATCTGTTTTATATCAATGACGAGAAAGGAACAATTTGTAGGTTTTTGAGTGGGCAGTTTAAGGCATTGGTGACGTTCAACGACATCTTAACCTGCCATTAGCGGGTCAAGTGTACTTAAAATATTTTAGGGTGTCAGTGTTTTTTTTTAATGGTTAATTAATATATTTATATTTAAGATTTACGTGATGTTTATATAGGTTAATGTGTTAATTTAGGGAACTATGGGCTGATGTAACTCAAAATGTTCACTATTATATATGCATGCATGGTCAGTTGACTTTCACCTTGGGATGAAACTATGGACATACCACAAGTTGATTTCTCTTCAACAATGGCAAAGTATATTGAGACTTTGAGATCGACTCCCTCCCCTTCCCCCTATTTCAATGTTGAAAGGTTATTGTCTTTGTAAAAGATATATAACGTGACACCAGAAGCGCGGTCAAAATCTGATGTACGATATTGGAATTAAACAATATTTTATAATGTACAGCGCATTGAAATGGGGAGAGGGGGTTTGTTTAAACTATTTTGTGGACGATTGTAGGTGAACCACTGCTATTGTTAACATTTTGAGGTCAATCATTCCATATACTTAATACTTTATCTGCATTGAGCTCCGACACAATTGAACCAAAACAAACTTCATTTGGTATATGTATTTAAGTGTTTAATTTTAATAGCATCCTGTGGTGTGGGGTTTTGTGTAGGTAATTAGTGTATATATAACTGAATTTTTGTGACTTGCTATATAGTAGTGAGACATACATTATGATTATCAGATTATGGTTAGGTAATGGATATCACTAAGGTAGAGCTAGTGCCTTTAGGCTTAGCTTTCATTTTGCAATAACGTTTAAAAAGATCTTCTTTGTTTGTACATGACGTCACTACGTCTCTTTGTGCGCGATCTCGGTGATTCTAGAATTTACTCTTTACAGTAGTTTAATTCACTGCACCCTGGCGTGTTTTAACAAACGTTGTTGCCATGTTATGCATATACAAACAAATTATTCATTCGCCAATTTCTAATTTTGTAGTTCAGCATGAACTGGATTGCGTGACTTCGATATAGGAACCTAACATAGCCTCAAGCTAAGCCGTTTCCCCCTGTAGTTCTAGGGGAAACAGAATACCGCACTCAAGCGCATGCGCGAGTGGGAAATGGCGGGAAAAGCGTTTACTATAAAGGCCGAACACAACTTTTGCCTAAAACTGTCGCATGCAACCTGCTTACAACTTGAGTTGTACTGTGTAAATCAAGCACACGTCACAACTCACCAACGACACGAGTTGTATGCATGAATTACACAGTACAGCCTAAATTGTAAGCAGGTTCCATGCGACCGTTTTAGGCAAAGGTTGTGTGGTGTAAATATTGGCCTTGAGGAAACGGCTGAACGATGGCGCTACTCGCAGCTGTGTCCACAGCGGGCAAGCTGAACAGTTGCTTGACTTGACGATGATCTGAATCCAACCCGCGACTTTTGGTTCAAAATCGACCATCACTCATTAGATTTGCTATAATTTATTTTCTGCCTGATTTCCTTCTAGTTTGAAAAATCAAATCAAATTTCACAATGTCCACGCACTCAATGGATCAGTTATCAGCCACACCGGAGAAACGGAATCATTTGAAAACGGCCGACAGAGGAATGCCGTTTAAAAAGTAAGTTATGATTCATTGTCTATTCATTTGTATGATTGTACCAGACTGACTCGTGCTCGATTGCCCTCATTCTTGCAGTGGTGTTGTCATAGAACGATAACAAATGGGGGGGGGGGGCTCTCGAAAGGAAGGGGTTGGCAAGGCATAAGTGACAACATGGTAAACATGGAATGTTCTACCATGTATTTTTGGTTCTAGCAATTCTTCAATTAGTGTTATGGTAGGATGAAAGTGTGGGGCGGGAGGGGTTCCTGGATCTCTAGGGAGAACAGTTTAGAACTGATAGAGCTATCCAGTGTAAATAAAGCTAGTTTAGTTTAGGTTTCCTCCTGTAGTAACACTGGATCAATAAGAGTGATCCTTACTGGACCTCTAGGGAGAACAGTTTAGAACTGATAGAGTTATCCAGTGTAAATAAAGTTAGTTTAGTTTAGGTTTCCTCCTGTAGTAACACTGGGTCAATAAGAGATGATCCTTACTGGACCTCTAGGGAGAACAGTTTAGAACTGATAGAGCTATCCAGTATAAATAAAGTTAGTTTAGTTTAGGTTCCCTCCTGTAGTAACACTGGGTCAATAAGAGATGATCCTTACTGGACCTCTAGGGAGAACAGTTTAGAACTGATAGAGCTATCCAGTATAAATAAAGTTAGTTTAGTTTAGGTTACCTCCTGTAGTAACACTGGATCAATAAGAGATGATCCTTACTGGATCTCTAGGAAGAATTATTTAGAACTGATAGAGTTATCCAGTATAAATAAAGTTAGTTTAATTTACGTTTCCTCCTGTAGTAACACTGGATCAATAAGGGATGATCCTTACTGGAATAGTGGACCTCTAGGAAGAACAGTTTAGAACTGATAGAGCTATCCTTACAGATAAAGTTAGTTTAGTTCTTTTGCATGCAATTTACATACCGGTAATCAATTTTATTCCCTCTGTTTTCAGAATGGCAAAAATGCTCTCGAAACGTCTACTGAAGGCTAAAGAACAAGACGTACAACTAGAGCTTGTCGACCAGGCCTGGTTCCACGGTCGCTTGACTTCGGAATACGCCGTCAAAGTCCTAGAAACCGAAGGAGAATTTCTTGTCCGCGAGAACCCTGCGAGGCCTGGGGATTATTTTATCTCCGTCAACGAGAACGGCGTAGTGAAACACTTCCCTATACAACGCTCGACCACGAAAAACCTTAAGTATAAATATAGACTTTATAAGAGTGGTAGTTTTGAAAGTTTGGTAGACCTCGTTGAATACTTGTACTCCAACAAAAAGTTAGTCACTGAAAGTGGGCAAATTCAACTACTTTCCCCAGCAAACCGAGATGCGGGCTTACTTTTAGTACCTGATTTGGGCCCGAGTATGCAGGTGGCGAGTGCTCCTGTATCACCGGCAGGTACCCCACCATTAACGCTAAAACGTGAGCGAAATTGCAGCGACCCGACTTTAAGTGCTGATCAATTAAGAAGCCATTTTGGCCGCTTGGGTCAGAGACCGAGGGCTGAATCGCGTTCTTCGCCACCGAGCTTGTATGTCGAGGACTTCGATGTTAATCAAAATGAGGTTATTTACGAAACTGTTAATATTCCGCCCAAAAAGCAACCTGAGCAATCCGCACTCATGAAGAAAAAACACTCCATTCTAAATGACGTATTTGAGATGTTTCGCAATACGCTGTACAAAGAATTCGGGAAACACGATTGTCTGACCTTAGCAAAGCAGATGACGTGCCGGGATTTAGAGGTGGTCTGGGGCGAGGAGTTTTGCGAGAAGACTGGGAACGAGTTAGCCGAGCCGTGTGGACTGGAATTGATTTTATTTCCACAAGGAAGTGAGCTGAGACGGAGCATATTAAAAAGGTTGGTGTACATTCACGCGATACTCCTGTAACTTAGTTACACGCTTATAAGCGTATTGAATTAAAACGTAATTAACGCATGTATGCGGTAAAAATAGTTGTCAGATACATAATGCTATTAGGATAGATGAACCTGACCCTAGTCTAACCCCAACTCTAACCCTAGTATAATCTTAATCTAATCTTAATCTAACACAAATCGAAACTTGATGACCTTTTTTTTTTCAATCCGTCTCGAATATAAATGGTGCCATCTAACAGTTCAATTTTCCTTGCAGACATTCCACCATCACAACATGGGTAAGTTCGATGGTTATTGCAGCAGGCGAGACTGAAGACCGTGTTGATATCCTCACTATATTTATTGGCATTGCTCACGCATTATTCAGTTCCCTTGGCAACCTGGATGGTTTCATGGCTGTGATGGAAGGACTGGAGGCTACCCAGGTAAAACCTGCTCTCCATCACTTACAGTACAATACAGAGGTTTGCGTAAAATCCGTAACCAGCTATAGGCCTTGTGACGTAGTTTACGGCTAAAGGAAAATCCCGTACAGCCATTAGGCTTGCCTGATTGGCCAAATGATGAATGATATGTGCGAACTACGCGTTATCCGCGAACTACGTCACAAGGCAGATTTTTTAAAAAGGTCTATTCTCCTAGCCGGTGCGCTGACGAAAGGCACTACCCCCCCCCCCCCGAACGTCTGAAACAACACTGTCATTTTGAAGGTTTTCAGGGGGTGACCGGCCTCTTCTGAGCGCACCGCCTAGGACATATAAGAGTTAGCAGTCACGCATTGTTACAGGGGACATTTCAAGCTCTAGATTAACAAAATAAAGGTTTGATTGAATGTTCCAACTATGTTTTGACATAAATAGAAGACCAAACTCGTTCCTACCTCTAAGAGCGTAAGAGAGTATCTCGGCAGTAAGCCAGAACGTGTTTATTTATCAACTACAATCATACAAAATTATTAACAATGATTGAAGGTATGGTCAACAGGACATGAGTCCCATGTGAAGACCAACCTGAAAACGGATTGATTGTTTTTTCGATTTCAGATTACTTTTCAAAGCGCGGTTCCCAAGTTTGTTGTCAACTTTCCAATTACGTTTCCAAATTCGGAGGTTGGGCGGGAACTTCGCAACGAAGTTCGCAAGTTAATTTCAAAGTTCGAACTTTGATTGTAAACAAATGTTCATAGTTGGAGTTGAAATTGCTGTATAAGGCCCTATGCACATATTACTGCAGTAAAATATTGGTCCAGTGGTCTCCCAAGACGAAAAATGCCTTTTTAAATAAATTTATAAATGAAATTTTTACATTTGTTTACAATCGAAGTTCGAACTTTGAAATGAACTTGCGAACTTCGTTGCGAAGTTCCCGCCCAACTTCCGAATTTGGAAACGTAATTGGCAAGTTGACAACAAACTTGGGAACTGCGCTTTGAAAAGTAATCTGAAATCGACAATAACCACAATTCAATGATAGCACGGCTCGCAGATACACCTTTCCTATATTGCCTAGTATTATTTTAAACCGTATTCCTATTTCCAGGTAAAACGTCTAAAGCTGACTTGGCAACGCTTGGAGGAAGGCCATCCCAAACTATCCATCATCTACCACAACACATTAAAATCAGTATACGCAATCCTCAACTCGCAAGGTAGCCACCCCTCCCCGGGTAAGGTCAAACCTTGTCTGCCGTATGTAGCCCATGTGGTGAAATGTCTGGAAATCGGACCCACCCCCCTGGAGCAAGCAGGAAATGGCGTAGCCGAATTGGATGAGCTCGAGGTCATGTGTAATCATTTGAGTAGCGCAAGGGATTATGGGACTGCTGTAGAGAGCTACAGACGGCAAGCTGTAGGGTTTGTAAGGAACATGCAGGGTGATATGGGACTTGAGATGTATTTTTTGTATACAGTGAAGGTATCGAGCGCTGTAGGACTGGGATTTAGCGAAGCTGATGTAACGGTTAAAATGGATGGATTGCTTACTCTAATGTCAGAGCATATAGAGCCAAGTTCTCGATAAAATACTTTAATATTTAATAATAAGTTAGTTTCTTGTAAATTTGCATACCTGGGGGTGTTAGGTACCATTAGGCATCCCATAGACACTATATGTACAAATGAAAGAAAATAAATACCATTGACGTAAGCCTGAACCTAACGTGATCCCCAACACAAAACGTGAAGCCTGGTTCACATATATGCCTGCGACGTACCGGCGACGATGCCGGTGGTAGCTTAAAACGTAAATTATGTGAATATTTGTTCGCCGATTGCCTCCAGTGCCACAGTTACATCGGCGGTAGGCCGGGAAAGTTGACTTGAGTTCAACTTTGCCGGTATTTCGGCGGTAAGTAGAGGCATAATGATACAGTCGCAGGCATACCGCAGGCATATGTGAACCAGGCTTGACTGAAATTAGAGTTCAAGGTTTTTTAGGGTCAGGTTTTAGTCAATGTTATTTTCTTTCAGTGGCATATTTAGTATGTACTGGATATTGAATGCCCAGCTGGTGGTCAACTTCGCAAATGTTCACACATTCTAGGCGAAAGAAGTGACGGGGGTCAACTCTAAAACAAAACACAGTTATCAGAGTGAGTCGATTGTTCGTTTTGTGTATTAGCCTTGTGTTTGGTGGCAAATACATGAAATTTCATTTTCTCACTCCAGTACAGCATAAGCATCAATACATTTGAGGTTGACCCCCCGTCAGATTCACTGCATAATGCCATAGTGGAACCCAAGAATTATTTTTCTGATAACTGCAGGTTGACCAACATCTGCTGCACGATGGTGCTTAGTGAAAATCATTGATTTATGTTTTGGACAACTATCACGTTTCGTTATTTCGCAAAGTTTTTGACCCATGATCTTGATCAGAGCATGTAAGAATATATTGGAAGATTCACACTTTGCAAGATCACAAACATTGCAAAATAACGAAACGTGGTGTTTCTCACAAAACAAGACAATTATTTAATATATTGAAGAATAAAAAATATATATATTATGTAGTAACTAAGCTCATAAAATGTTATTAAACTGTCCGTTTATTACCAGTGCGTAGAGAACTACCAGTGCAGGCCGATATGGTTGATGGCTCCTTGCCACTGAGTTAAGCCTGCTACTGAAAATTTATTTCCAATTTTTAGACCTGACTAAGCCTGCTTCACACTGGCAATTTTGTCGCCGATTTTGTATTTCTGACGGATGCAAATGAGTGAACTCACACACCAAAATATAGAATCGCTTTTCAGAAGAAAACAATTCTAAGTCATTTGCATATCATTCATTCGATCACATTCGCCAGGAGGAGAAACGTCACCGACTGCAGAATTGCTAGTAGACTGGACCTGACCTGGCTGGACCTGACCAGAAGTGAGATATGTTTTCAGTGATCCCCTGTACTTCTGGGGTTTTTCTTCATGACGTACACTCCAGTTTTCCTCTGACTAGAAACTAAGGTAAAATTAAGGCCCGTTTGGTGAATTAGTCGCGACAGAAGAGTATATTACCTTTTTGAAACTGAAAGAAAGTCTGCGCCTATTAGCTACGTGCGTTGGTGTGGGTATTTTTGGGGTTGCGTATTGTGTATTTAATTAAAGGTTCAAAAATGTAATTAATGGTCCCTGCAATTCCTGTTGGCTATTGTTGAGGGCTAAAAGGATTATTTATCCCACCCAGATAATTTTCATATCAAAAAAGTTAAATATCCCAAGAGCGAAGCACAAGTAAGGTGTTCGGCATGCAAAGTATCTTACTTCGTCTTTTTTCTTTACAATATAATCACAAAAACTAGTATGAAATTCCGTTGCAAAAGTTTAAATATTTCCTGTAGTGTTTCCACCCATTTCTTGTTGTACATGCTACGTGACCTTAACTGCTTTAGCGACATTTAATTAGTTTGTATAGCTCATTATAGGTATTAGTATAGGCATTAGACGGTATTAGTATAGGCAATTCACTTCCCGAATGTTGACGCAGCAAGAAAATTAAACCACGTCTCTCCATTTACTCGCGGATTTCGATTTTTGGAAATAAACACGCCACAGTGACGCATCGTTTGTATAGAATTTAATCTTGAACTGCATGTGCAGGTAGTGGCAATATTGACGAACAAACTTGCGTTGATAGGGATGCAACGACCTGAAAAATATAAGGAGAATTTCGACGTTTCGAGCGAACGCCCTTCGTCTGGGGTTAGAATTTACAGAGTTAGATATAGAATTTACATTGACTTAAAATACCGAAGTTTACTAAAAGAAATTGTGTAGTATATATCGTAAGCCGTCTTAAAATTTGCGCTATTCCATCCCTTTCCACAGTGATGCGACCACCCTCAATAATATTTGGAGTTGACACAGACATGTTTTATATCGCGCAAACTAAAATAGACACAAAAATACTTTTGTAACGCAAAAAAAACCAAATCGCCCCGGAAAAGCAAAGCTTGAAACTGTGA